TGCTAACCAAATTTGCTTTGAAGATTTAATATTTATTGATGCACACTACCGGAGTTGCTCTGGATGTAGGATTTGACCTACATGTGCATTTTCCAGTGACCAGGTTAAAGTTTTTGGAGCAGGTTCATTACCAAGAAACTATAAGACCCATCTGAATCAGACTTGATTGGATGATGCATAAATGGATGCACACTACCACAGTTGCTCAGATTCTGGATTTGACCTACATTTTCCAGAGGAGTAACCATGTTAGAATCTTTGGAACAGACTCGTTCCAGTGTAACTTCAAGCTTTACCTAGACCAAACTTGCATGAATGTTCATCAAGGGATGAACACTCTCAAACTTGCTTAAGATGCTGGGTTTGACCTACATTTTCTTGATGAGCAACTATGGTTTAACGTTTTCAGAATGAGTCCATTTCCAAGTAACTGCAAACCCTATCAGACCAAAATTGCATAAATCTTGCATCTAGGGATGCTCACTACTAGTTTATTAGTTAAGAGTGGAACTTTGCCTTACTTAAAGATAACATTTGTAGAGATGAGCTGTGTAATCTTTGAATACTTGGGTTTCACCTGAGGAAAGACAATGCCCCAATTCAACAGATTGCTTTCTAATAATTTTAAAAACGATTCTACTATGTTTCTGTGTGAAACAGACAATCTAAAAGAAACAGTCGAATTACTGGCCGAAAAGGAGATATTTATAGGACTGTTTCCATGAAGTATGAAGTGAACAAACAGTAATCAATCTCGAAAGTCCAATGAAACGATACAAAATTAGAGCAGAGCAAACACAGACCTCAATATTTAGAGGTTGGATCAAGTGCCATGAAGGAGTGAGCATCCCCTGCCGTCCGGTCACACCCGCCGTGTGCTCCTTGTCATGATCGAAAAAAAGCGGAAAAATCCGTAGACGCAGTTCAGTGTATAAAAAATGGCCTAACAATTAGTATGAAAAACGTCAGTCAGCATTTGATAGTTTGTATGTGCTGACAAGGTCATTGTATCGACCGTAAAACTTGCGAAAAGATTACTTCAAACGAGACTGTTGATATCCTTATTTCATCAACATGTTTGTCAATACGTAGAGCATGCTCTGGCGTATCGAATCAACTGAAAGACATAAACTCCATATGCAGGTGATAAGGGAATATTGTTACATAAATAAGGGAAGTTGACGATTGAAAAGTTCCTAAAGCAAAATTACATATTTAGAAACATACAGTAAAGAACAAACTGCAGCAATAGTATGAAGAAGAAATTATGTTTGTGATTTTTCATTAAAAATTGGTTTAAGAATGTTGATACATTGCGTCAAGTCTTCAATTACAAAAGCTGGAAAGATAATGAAATCCTAAGTACCATACGGTTTCCATATTTTAATCCCATTTACAATTCGTGTACCCTACGACATCACATTATCCTTTTTTGTGGATTATTAATTCTACTTCCGGCATGGTTTGAGCATGAGTAATTGCATGACTTATAATTAAGGCTATTGTCGCCTTTGCGTTGACATTGTCATGTTGTTTCACCTCGCTTTCCTTCTCCATTGCATGCACTTAAAGCAAAGGATGAGTGACAATCAATCCAAATTATGCAACCCCTTAAAATATATAATAAAAATGGACATGTGTTTAGAATTACTAGTAATATATTAAGACAGATCCCACCTTTAGAATTAATGAAAATTTATTTTAGTATTAATTTCTTTACTTTTCAATGCAATGCTGTGAAAAAGTTCCTTTTTGGTAAAAAGTATAGTTTTTCTATTTGAATCATGTAAAAAAGGCCATAATATACACAACACGTTACGTTTCTAACCAGAAATTCTAGAAGATTTATACCCCCTTTTTTCATCACTTTTTCATCTGAAAAAAATATTTGACTAATCTGAACACAAAATTAAAGCAAAATAATTTTCAAAATCTATCAATTTATTTGTTATCATAATAAGTGTCACTTTTATTAATATTTTATCAGAGATGAAAATTTACGGGGAAACTATCCAAATGATCATAGAATTTACATATTTTTAGAATTTCATAGTTAAACACCCTTTTCTCTTCAAAATATTAGATTTTCATCTATTTTGTTTAGAAAGCTAAAAGTGTGTTGTCACTTCACAAGTGTTTTTTCCCCTTCTTTTTCTTCTACAACTAAGTGGGGTTTTTTCCCCTACAACTTCTAGATCATGTATATCCCTATAAATCAATTAACATAAACTTGACATCAATGAAACATATTTCTTCAGAAAATAACTAAATGTCAGGCTTCACTTGTTTTGGTACACAGTAAGAGTCTCTTATTTAAAAAAAAAAAAAAAACTATATTACTATTTTTATGAAATTAGTAATATATTGTGAATACTGTATGAAAAGTAAAATATGTCAATTCTATACAATGTGCATGTGTATGTAAATCAATTACAACATTTTGTGAAAAAGATCAAAATCTTTTTAGACATGGAATCAAATTCACACTGCACTGCTACTTTTGCAATGTAATTAAAAAGGGTAAACAATAATTCTATTATTGATAATTATAAGTTTTCAATACAGTACCACTATTGATGACGTCACTCGAGTTGGGAGCTATCTTAATTTATATTTAGCTCTACTGGACAGCGACCAGAAGAGCTTATAGATGTTATAGTTAGGTGTCCGATGTACGTCCATCTGTCTGAAAAACAATTTTTCAAAATGCTTCTCTTCCTACAGTTTTGGTCCAATTTTAATATAACTTGGTACACAAGTAGATTACACTATGATAAATAATTCTTGATATCGGTTTTTGCATTTTGATGAATTTTGTTGCCACGGTTACTAAAATTAGCTATTTCTGTGAAATTCATTCAAAAGGTTTTCTGCTGCAGTTCAATTGCAATTGAACGTGACACAAAGACCATATCAAGGATCATTATTTTATTTTTTGCTGTTACCATAGTTTCAAATCTAAGTGCTATGTAAATAACCATGGTAACACTGATTTGGCCGGTCTTTTAATGAAATTTTAGGAAAAGATGTAACCTTGTGGAAAAATATATTTCATTTAAAAATACACTATGCCGTTTACAAGAAATAGACCCTTGACCAAAAAATCGGAATGGTATATCATTTCTACTTTCTTTCACGTTTTACTAATCGAAATGCTACGTCACTTTTATGTATTTTCAATTAACAACAATGGCACCGCAAAGCGGAGCATCCCCTCGCAAAGGAGCATATCATTTCTTTTCGAAATGGTACATTTCTATTCGAAATGATACATTAACTCTCACTTTTTACTAATCGAAATGGTATATCATTTTTGCCTCTCTTTCACGTTTTACGTATCAAAATGGCACATCAATTTCATTCTCTTTCACGCTTACTACAGCTTTTTACAGGTCAGTTGAACAACCCTCAGATAAAGAATTCCAAATCTATATGTGACTTTTACTAAGAAACATTGAATTACATAATTGTAAAATTATTGCTGATTATAACCAGCTGTGTGAGTTATTATAAATAACTGTGTACGCTCTTACTTACGATTTATAATAAGGCTAGTTTATTATAATTAATTGTGTACGCTCTTACTTACGATTTATAATAAGGATAGTTTATTATAATTAATTGTGTACGCTCTTACTTACGATTTATAATAAGGCTAGTTTATTATAATTCATTGTGTACGCTCTTTCTTATGATTTATAATAAGGCTAGTTTATTATAATTCATTGTGTACGCTCTTACTTACGATTTATAATAAGGATAGTTTATTATAATTAATTGTGTACGCTCTTACTTATGATTTATAATAAGGATAGTTTATTATAATTAATTGTGTACGCTCTTACTTACGATTTATAATAAGGCTAGTTTATTATAATTAATTGTGTACGCTCTTACTTATGATTTATAATAAGGCTAGTTTATTATAATTAATTGTGTACGCTCTTACTTATGATTTATAATAAGATTAGTTTATTATAATTAATTGTGTACGCTCTTACTTATGATTTATAATAAGGCTAGTTTATTATAATTCATTGTGTACGCTCTTACTTACGATTTATAATAAGGCTAGTTTATTATAATTCATTGTGTACGCTCTTACTTACGATTTATAATAAGACTTGTTTATTATAATTAACTGTGTACGCTCTTACTTATGATTTATAATAAGGCTAGTTTATTATAATTCATTGTGTGCGCTCTTACTTACGATTTATAATAAGACTTGTTTATTATAATTAACTGTGTACGCTCTTACTTATGATTTATAATAAGGATAGTTTAATATAATTAACTGTGTACGCTCTTACTTACGATTTATAATAAGGCTAGTTTATTTTTCAAAATATCAGAGTGTTGCTTCCATCTAAGCAGTAAGTGCCTTTCTAGAAATTTGACCCCAAAAAAGGGGGTCGGGGGACACAACTCCTTTTGAAATGTGTCCGAGATACAATGTAATTGCATGTTACATCATTTCCTATATCCTTTTTTTCTATATAAAGAAGAATACAGTGTGAGAGTTGAAAAGAGAAAGAGAAAATAAGTAATTAACAAAAAAGCAGTTACATATTAACCTATAGCGTCTGAGTTCCTTAACACAATACTTCTATTGTGAAGAGTATCAACATACAGTACAATGTACTACTGTTCAAAAGAAAATAAAATTATTTGTATAAAAATGTTTTAAAAGTACCATGCAGTATAAGGATAATCTTTTTTTTTCAATCGTCTTTATCTTGTGTATGCACAGTATAGAGATTGGAGGGAGCTGTAACTCTTATAATCCACATTTTAAAAGTTTCCACGATTCACAAGAAACAAAAACAAACAAACAAAAAGAATTCAGGATTCTGCAGTTAAGAATATTGATAACAAAGCAATGTTGTAAATGTAGATCTTATTTTTTAAAAAATGGTTACTTGGCTTAGATTGCAATCACTTGAAATATTCTTAAATCCCTCACAAAAATATTCTTGCGACATGAATTAAAGTTAATTGTTAGATCTGTGAATCGAGATTTTTAAATGCCTTCACAATAGCTTACCATTTGGCCGTTTAACAGTTTTAATGACTTTGTACCCATACACTGATACATACATTCGGCTCTAAGCATTGATTACCGATGGATCATGGACTTTTGTGGATCAGACTTCTAAAGACAAGTATGTAGTGTACAGTGTACACGAGCAAAATGGCCGAAAAGTCATTCCCTACAAAACTACATCAACAGTAAGTCAATTCTATTTGTTTTTATTTAGACAAATCTATACGTGATTTCTTTTTTATTGCAAACTGGAAAAAAATAAGTGAGCTTTTATACAAATCTAAAAATATTGTTATTTCGTCAGTTGCATTTTGATTATTCTTCATGTGCATAAAAATAGTAGTCTTGGTATATGTATAATTCAGCCAATAGAAAGATTTAATGTTTTATTTCCTGACAGATGCATACAACCGTGTCCATGGTGTCTGATACACTGGGGGGGGGGGGGGGAGTAAAATACTCAAAAAAGATGTTTCAGAACAATTTGTCCATGAATTCAGTGTCTTATAAAATTGTACACTTTTTTCAGGTGGCAGCTTAGCATTCCAAAGACATGTTTGTCCCCAAGATTACTAAAATCTGTTTAACAGACAGTTCAGAAGGCCTTTTTATTACTTGGACCGTAAGTATACTAATAAGTATTGAACATCATTGTTTTAGTATTATATTTTCAAATATTCTCAACTTATAATCTTGATGTTTTTTTTAATTTGACCTTAAAGATATAGTTCAAGGTAAAAAAATATTATTTCGCTGCATCTCATTTTTTTTCCCCATATTTGAAGTTTGAAACCTTATGTAAATGGGATTTAAAGTTATTACCTGGGATAATTGTTATCGACCTTGATTTGAGTAAAGGGTCAAAACTTTTGATGCAGTGCACTTCAACTTAATCGCATTTTCCAAGTTCCTAAATAATGTAGAAGGGCTCTCAAGTTATGATATTGACATTCATTTTAATTTTGACTTTGATTGAAAAAAAATGGGTCAAGTCAAAAATTGTATTGAGGCCAAGACCTTGACCTCAATTACAGCAATTGTATCTTAATAGGTGCTTACGTATCAAGTCATGTGATTGCTATGCCATGTGCAAATCAACGATATGATGTAAAGATCTTAGTTATCTTAATCTTATTGATCCATATTCCAAGTTTGAATACTTAATGTTAAAGGTTCTCAAACAATGGCATGGACTTTTTTTTAATCTGACTTTCTTTGAACGAAATGGATTAATATCGATACAGTGCACCTTCCATCTTCTTTCTATGTTAATCCAAGTCTGAAATCCTTATTACAAAGAGTTCTCGTTATAAACTTGACAAAATACGAAAACACGACACACACACACACACACACACACACACTATATATATATATATATATATATATATATATATATATATATATATATATATATATATATATATATATATATATATATATATAATGCGGACACATAAGCGTATAAACAAGAAAAAGATAGGAATATACCGGGTATTTTGTTGACGCTCGTGAGAACTTTGAAAAGTTTCTAATTCCAGATACCTCCATCACCTACCAAGATACTTGGTTACATTCTGGCTTTTAAAAGAAGTGACCTTGACCTCAATTACAGCAGTTGTACCTTAATAGGTGCTTACGTATCAAGTCATGTGATTGCTATGTCACGTGCAAGTCAACGATATGATGTAAAGATCTCTGCATTCACAAGTCGTGAATTTGGTGATTTTTCCGATACAATCACATGGTGTTCTTCTGGTAATATAATTAAAAAAAAAACTACAGTACATGAATTATTATAAAAATTGAATTCTATATTGAATAACTATCTATTCAGTGATAAAAAAATTATCTCCTTCATTTTTGTTCCTTTTTCCAGATTTTCAGTACACTCAACACCAACGTAAGAAATTAACTTTGTTTTCATGTGAAGTGTTATAGAAGCATGCCTGATTTGTTTTCCTTTGAAAGCTTAACAGTCTCCGTATTTGTTTAAATGAAGTTAAAAATTTTTTTACTCATTTACTTCAGACTTGCTCCCAACACCAGTCATCATAAAAATTTTATCTGCTCATGGTGGGCACTGTATACAAGTGTTCTGGAAGGTAAATATCAATAACATTGGCGGAATTTTTTCAACATAAATTCAGTTCTAAAACCTATGTTTTTTTCACTCTTTTTTTCTTTTAGATTCCTTTAGATGTATCTAGTGTGATTGTTGAAAATTTCTTGATTTTGTATAAACGATGTGGATTAGATACGGAATTCAAAGAGAAACTTGTGCCCGGAAGTGAGGTCACAAACCACATGATCGTTGGTCTGAGTGAGTGCACTCTTTATGAAATCAGAGTGGCTGCGTGTACTTCCAGACTCCGTGGACGTTCTTCAGCCCCTGCAATGCTGAGAACTGGCGGTAAATCTTTCTCTCTCTTATTTCTTGTTACTATGTATCTTATAATACTCTTGTTTTAAAAATGAATGATTTTATTTCTGTATGAAGTAAAGTCATGAGTAGAAAAAAAAAATAGAAATTTCTAGAAAGTTATTAATTTCATTGTAAATGAAACAAATATATGCGTGGAAAAAATAACTTCCTATTGTTCATTGAAGCAGTCAGATTCTCTGTACGCAGTTAAGCTTGTCAAATATTTCTGACACAAAATCTTTATTTTGCAGTAACAAGGCCAGACTCTATTAAGCTACGGATGTCGAGGGGTATGCTTTTCTGTATGTTATTTAAATAATGCACATGTTCTGTTCTGTTCCTCATAAAGTTGTATTAAAATAATATGTATCGCCTGTATAATGTGTCTCGTGTAAATGTGCAGAGTTCCTGCAGACAAATATGTTTTCTCCTGCATGTATGTCTAGTGTGATTAAAATACAGGAACTGTAGGAGAGTATCTTATTGTCCGTGTTTCAGTTGTTTACACTTTGATCATTCTTTATTTCAGGTCCAGATTTTAAACCAAGGATAATAAAACTTTACGAAATAATGACGGATAAACGACAGTTACAAATTGTATGGACGGTAATTATCTCACTCAAAATTCTTTTTATATTTTAAATAAAAGTGGATTTTTTATAACAGTTATTCTGAGGAAAATAACGTCACGGTGTATAGTGTACATTTTGTTGGTAAAGACTATTTGTATTCTTATTCACACGGAAATTGCTTAACAATAGAATATCGATGTATTGTAATATTGTGAGACGATGCTTTTTAAAAAACAGACTCCAGACCACGTCACATATCCTACAGTCGATGGGTACGTCATTGCAGTCAGAAAGACTTCAAGTTACGAGGCACCATTTACTAAACATTACGTCAGAGATGCCCAGAAAAACAGTCACGTGGTTCATGATGTTCACGAGCAATATCCATACGAAGTGAAAATGGCAGCATTCAATGCTTTTGGTGTAGGGAAATTTACCAGAACTATAATTGTTGGTAAATATCCAAGTATTGTCCACATTCTATCTGCTTGAAAGAAAATATTGATGTACTAGGGTACGTGTCCCAGAAAAAACCCCGCCAACTTCTGAAATATTTCAAAACTGCCTGAACCAAAATATTTTTTTAACATTATTTGGAAATGATATTTTAGTTATTTTGACGATATATTGTAAGGTTGTATTTACAAGCATATGTAAATGGCATTTAACGCGTGTTAAATATAGATACATTTCATTTTTTTTTAAATTAGCATTGTCATTACCAGATTAAACGGAAATACGATGTAACAAAATTTACATCGGTAAAAACGTACACTATGAGCTGTGGTATTAAATTCATTACTTTGACATCATGGCAATTACGAGGGTTCAATAAATAATGCAACATAATATCATAATAAATGTAGAAGTAATTAATTTTATTTGTTCACAGTTGAAAAGTTCTATTAAGGAAATCCTATTTAAATCACTGATTTTTATGCCCCCGTATCGAAGATTCGGGGTACATGTTTATAGTTTTTTCCCTGTCCATCCGTCTGTCTGTCCGCAAAAACTTTAACTGCTCATAACTTTTGATTGGTTGGGGCTATGGCTTTCATATTTCACATATGTATTCCTTGTGACAAGACCTTTCTTTGGGTACCATCATATTTGACCTGGACCTTGGATTTTGACCCAGTTTTACAAAATTTTACCCGACTTTAAACTTGGCCATAATTTTTGAACGGTTGGTGCTAGGGCTTTCATACTTCATATGTGTAATCCTTGTGATAAGACTTTCCTTTGGATACCACCAATTTTGATTCTTTGGTCTTGACCTGCGAGTTTGACCGATTTTTGAAAAACTTTAACATTGCCTATAACTTTTAAACGGTTGGTGCTAGGGCTTTCATACTTCATTTGTGTAATTATTGTAACAAGACCTTACTTTGGATACCAACAACTTTGACCCTTTGACCTTGACCTAGGAGTTTGACCTACTTTTGAACAACTTTAACCTTGGCCATCTCTTTTGAACAGTTGGTGCTAGGGCTTTCATTCTTCACAAGTGTAATCCTTGTGAGAAGCCGTTCCTTTAGATACCAACAATTATAGCCCATTGACCTTGACCTTGGAGTTTTACCTACTTTTGGAAAACTTTAACCTTTGCCATTTCTTTTAAACAGTTGGTGCTAGGGCTTTCATACTTCACATATGCAATCCTTGTGACAAGACCTTACTTTGGATACCAACAGCTTTGACCCTTTGATCGTTACCTTGGAGTTTTACCTACTTTTGAAAAAACTTTAACCTTGGCCATATCTTTTGAACGGTTGGTACTAGGGCTTTCATATTTCACATGTGTATTTCTTGTGAGAAAGCCTTACCTTGGGCACCATTAATTTTGACCATTTGACCTTGATGTTTGACTTACTTTGAAAAAACTTTAACCTTTCCCATATCTTTTCAATGATTGATGCTAGGGCTTTCATATTTCACAGGCATATTCCTCGGTACAAGACCTTACTTTGGGTACCAGCATATATATATATTTTAAGTGCATTTAAGAAAGTTTAACCTTTGCTATAAGTTGGCATACGGGGGCATCAGTGTTTCACAAACACATCTTGTTTCCTATTGCCCTCGCAAAGCAATTCACTTTTAACAGCAAGCATGGTCTCTACACTGAGCTGAAAAGTGTTTAAACGTGATCTCAGTCAAGAAGATGACAATGAGAACGTATGTGAAAACTGTGCTTCATTACATAAATCTCTGAAGAACTCATACTTAAGATATGATTTTTATATGTGAAAGACTAGTCTTTAAGGTTGTAAGTTTTCAGATCGATTCAGAAATTCAAAAGTAAAAGAGGAGAGTTAATATACTAGTATAGTAGTCAAAGTGGTCGATCGAAATCTGTAGGGACACCAAAAATATCGATGCTGTAAGCATTATGATATCAGAAAATGCCAGATTTACATTGATAAACGTCGTCAGTGTTGCGCTTCAGCTAATATACTTTGGATCGCACAATTGAGAGAAAATGTTATTTATGCATATGATTTACAAAAATTTGTATATAGTTTTCCAAAAAAAAAAAGTTTGATTATGTTGCATGTCAAATTTTAACTTTATAATAGTATTGAAAATGTTTGCATTTTTCTGGGACAACCCTCGTATTGGTTTTTCATCATTGGAGTCTTAGATACAGTGCATGTTATTACGATACAAGTGGTTTTTAAAAGTCTGGAAATTTTAATGAAATCAATTTTACCTGATGCCAGTAAGTTTCGTTAACTGGTGTTTCGTTATCTGATGTACCAATACATATACTGAAATATATACTTAAGGTCCATAATCCCTCTGATCACTCATACAAAATGTTGCTTTAACGCTTATGATTTTCCAAATAAACTACGTGTATATGTTATAACTTATAAGTAAAATTGGTCAAAAAAAATTATAAAGAATAATATACATTTATCCCATGAAGAGTCATCTCTCTTACAGAGTATTAATGAACCTTAATTAAGTAAAGCGAATCAAAATTGATGTATGTAACATTTTATGTTCGAATTAATTGTAGATAACAGCATGATGAAATCCGAGATCCGTACTCCACAGACACTGCCAAAGAAACTCAAAAAATTATTCCCAGGATATTTCAAAGGAAATGTAACATAATTACCTGAAATAAAATATTGAAGTTCTTTTGTGGTGTTTGATGTATAATATCTCCGCTCTGTGGTTACATTGGTTCATACACTACCTATATATACCGGGTATATGGAATCATCATTAGGGACGAGGCAATAATTATTTATCACCAGGGAGGGACCGGTACAAAGTATGATGACATCGAAAGGGGGGATCTTTTTCCCGAAATTCATAATTATAACTTGCAAAAACTTTGAAAATGTTTGAACAGCCTAGTCTTTCGATTTTCATTCTAATGAATAAACTATAAAACTATAATCAAGAAAAAATGGGGACCTATGCAAATGACTAGGTTTTTATAGCAAAAGTTTCCCGTTATAACGCGAAAGTTACGCGTTATAACGCAATTTTTTTTAACCTTCGAAAATGAGCTCAATGGGCTTTCGTAGATAGAGAATTTAATGCCATATTGAAAAAAAGATATGCGTGGTCACTGAACTTGACGTCGTGTTGGATGCTTTCTCTGAAGTTTTCTTACAATGTCAGAAACTTTTAAATCAGTAGAAGTAATAATTCTTCCAAATGTAGAGAAATGTAATAACTTTAGATTTTCAAGGTTTGTACAAGTGTACAAATGTATCCCTAATCGTCCTGCAACTTTTAAATGAAATTTAGCTCATATTCTTTATTAATCCAACCGCTTTAGGTCTATGGTCCAACTTTTATATTTTCAGGTTGTATATAATCAAAAATCACATTTAAGGACCCTCTATACACTGATGAAAAATGTTTTTTGGACTTTGAGAAAGTTATAAAACATAAAAGAGGATATTTTGAAATTAACTAACTCATTTCTAATATAGGGAGCGTGCCTTTTTTATTCAGGAAAAATCTTCAAAGACAATGAAGTAATGGAAAAGAAAAATTGCCTTCACTTACTCAAATGGATAAAATACATGCAAATAAAGTTTTCAAATACTGTATCTTGGTCTAATATAATGTTTAGAATACTTGGATTTATTTTAAATTATGTGATACATTATTTTACCTGTATGTCAAATGGTGGGTCTGTCTGATTACACAAAAGTCCTGAAAATAGGATGCAGTGTAGAGAGGGTCCTTTAAGAATCCCCAAAATTTAAATACAAATATTTCTTCAACTAAGTGGAGTCTATGCCCTATGGGTGACAGTCATCTACTACGCCCCTCTAGATGGCTGATGCCAATTATATATAAGGGGAAAGGTTATGTTTTATACTCGTATTTGTATACATGGATATTAAGTTGACTTTTTCATCCAAAATGAGGATGAGACATATACTTTTTACATTCTTAAGGAATGCCAAATGGGATCATTAAGACTTTTGGGATTTTTATTTTTTTCACCGGTCCCATCCTGATGATAAATATTGCTTGATTCCTGTATATATAGCCTAAAGAAAACCTCGAAAAGCCGAAAAGGAAAAAATCATCAGACGTTATTTTTGAAGAGACACAATCTTTAATCAACAGCAAAGTACTTGTGTATGTCCTGGCAAAATTATTGAGAGGGCACAACTGTAAAATTAGCTTTGTTTTCTATTTTGAAGTATATGTAGACGAAATTATTTGTGGTGCATTATACTCATAGTCTTTTATTAAACGACACAATCAAGCATATATTTCAACTTCTTTGACAAGTGTTTTCGTGTCTGATATTGTAACACTAGGTTCGTTGCGCTGACCGTCATCCATTGTGTAAACCGCCACATACTGACCACTGGAGTCCTTAAAACAAGGCAAACATTGGCGCTTCTTATAGACAACCGTCATTCCAAGCGCCGATAGAACCATGATCGTCAGGGTAAGCAGAACGGTAGCCAAAACTCCAACTGCTGATGTCATACAGGTGAGGTCGTCTGCTTCTAACGACAATATGTTTTTCCCGCGATACCGAGACGGATGGGTACACCTAGAATATTAAAAATTCAAGAAAAAGGTTTCAAATATACAAATATTACACAACCAGTTATTAAACGGATACGGTAAAAGATGAGGATAAAGGACAGTGAACAACCTCGTAAATTCTGGAAAAATAGAAATCGTGATCAGAGCAAAAACATGAACCACTGGAAAGATCAGAGGTGGGATCAGGTGCCTAGGAGGAGAAAGCATCACCTTTCGAGTTGTCACACTCGTCCTAAGCCCTCTGTACTGATCAGGTGAACTGAGTAGCTTTACAATTGTACGTCAGCGTATTGCTGCCAGTCGAAAATATTTGTTGCTATGTTGTATGTACTAAGTCGTGTGAACGACATGAGTTGTAATTGAGATAATACGTCGTGCCCTTGAGATAAAAAGTCGTACATGTATATGATAAGTCGTACATCGACAATAAGTTGTAACAAGATCCCCCCCCCCTTTCCCTTCCCCCGACTACACACATATAATCACACAAAAGAGATATTCCACGATTGTAATTTGTCGTTTTTATATATTTTCCCTGGTAAAAAACTTAATGAGCGGAAATCTGCCCGCCGAGTGGAAAAGTCGAAAGTTCTGACGCTGTTAACGGAGATAAAAGAAAATGAAGACGAGCATGCAATATATGGTTGTGTAGATAAATTATCGTAGAAGACAATGGTAACAAGCATTCTGAGAGTATTGAATTAGCAATACTAGTCCCCTACCGGCAAGTGTAATCTGGTTCCCGTTAAAAATTGAAAATGCTATAATTCCGTCAAAAATCAATGAAGCGGGACAAAATGCAAACTTGATCTATAGCTAATCAAGGTAAAGTCACATCCCAAAAATCAGCTCAATATCTGCAAGCGTTTAGAAGGAAATTGCGGAAAACCCCTAAAAATTGAAAAGGCCGTAATTCCGTCAAAAATCAATGAAGCGGAACGAAATGCAAACTTGATTTGTAACTCATCAAGATACACTCACATACCAAAAATCAGCTCAATATCTGCAAGCGATCAGGTAAAAAGTGCGGAAAACCAAGTGGGACAGACTGACAGACAGACAGAGGGACAGACAGACAGACAGCTAGACGGACGGACAGACTCAGAGGAAACCTATAGTCCCCTCCGGTTTCACCGGTAGGGGACTAATAAACAGTTTGCCAAAGCATTTCTGAAAGTGTAAATGAGTGCGATTCTGGGGAGAGGGTACTCCATGTAATTCGGAGCTGGATACCTTGTGTTATTATTAGTCCCCTACCGGTGAAACCGGAGGGGACTATAGGTTTCCTCTGAGTCTGTCCGTCCGTCTGTCTGTCTGTCTGTCCCTCTGTCTGTCTGTCAGTCTGTCCCACTTGGTTTTCCGCACTTTTTTTCTTAAACGCTTGCAGATATTGAGCTGATTTTTGGTATGTGAGTGTATCTTGATGAGTTACAGATCAAGTTTGCATATCGTTCCGCTTCATTGATTTTTGACGGAATTACGGCCTTTTCAATTTTTAAGGGTTTTCCGCAATTTTCTTCTAAACGCTTGTAGATATTGAGCTGATTTTTGGTATGTGGCTTTACCTTGATTAGTTATAGATCAAGTTTGCATTTCATCCCACTTCATTAATTTTTGACGGTATTATGGCATTTTCAATTCTTAACGGGAACCAGATTACACTTGCCGGTAGGGGACTAGTATTGCTAATGCAATCCTCTCAGAATACTTGTTATACTATGGTTAAAAACATTATTACTGTATGAAAGAGCAAAACAGTCACAGGTAACTTCTATTAAAAAATGAAGAAATATTACGAAAGTCGTCGCCCCAGAACGGGTATGAAGTATATGCACGACAATGCACATAAAGCACGAATTGTGACCGAATATTTGGAGGTGGAAAAGATTAATGTCCTACCGTACCCCCACCCCACCCTTCGTTTTCTCCAGATTTAGCCCCGTGCGACCTCTTTCTGTTCCCCAAACTTAAATTCCACCTATCGGGAAAAAGATACAAATCACGAAATGCCCTTGGCTCAGCAATTTATCAGTATATGATAGGTGTCCATAATGACGAGTATGAAAAATGTTTCCAGAAGTGGATTGAACGTCTAAAAAAGTGTGTCCAGGCCAAGTTTGAGTACTTTGAAGGGCAGGGACGAATAGAAGGATCAAAGATTAATAAATGTGGGTGAAAAAAGTCTCGTGTCATTATTTTTGGAGCATCCCTCGTATAGTGAAAAGGCGTTATTTCTTTGAAAATCTTCTCTTCTCCTGGGTATAAAGCAAACAAACTACATGCATGGTTATGATAAGGTTTCTTCTTCCAAAATTTTGTATTTTATGGCCTTGGGTCAGGGATTCTGGTGTTAGGGCAGGGATCTATTGATTAAATAGTGATAATGCATTAATTCTTTGAAAATCTTCTCTGCTCCTGGGTATTTAGCAAATAAGGTAAGTGCATGGTTATGGTGAGAAAGAGTGCTTCTTCCAAAATCGTGAAATTTGTGATCATATGATCAGGGGTTCTGGTGTTGGGAGGGGTGTTCTATTGATTTAATGGTGAAAATGCATTAATTCTTTGAAAATCTTCTTCTCTGCTCCTGGGTATTTAGCAAATAAACTAAGAGCATGTGCCTCTTCCAGAATTGTGAAATTTGTGGCCACATGATCGGGGGTTTTAGTGTTCGGAGGGGATACTCTATTTAATAATAGTGAAAATGCATTTCTTTGAAAACATTCTTGTATGCCCCTGGGTATTAAGCAAATAAACTACATGCATGGTTATGATGGGTAAGGGTGCTTATCCCAAAATTGTGGATTTCATGGCCCCTAGGTCAGGGGTTCTAGTGTTAGGGCAGGGCTATAGATCACAGGCACTTGGGGTCTGGACCCCCCCCCCCTTTCCATTTTTTTTTCTTTTTAAATATGAGGTCGAGACACCTTTTTCCTATTTTTGTATTCTAATATGCACTTTATGTTATCAATAATGTAACTCTTTTGTCTCTATATACTGTTTTTAAATATACCGTTTTTCGACTGATACATAATTTTTTATGTATCAGTCGAAAAACGGTATATTTAAAAACAGTATATAGAGACAAAAGAGTTACATTATTGATAACATATAGTGCATATTAGAATACAAAAATAGGAAAAAGGTGTCTCGACCTCATATTTAAAAAGAAAAAAAAATGGAAAGGGGGGGGGGGGGGTCCAGATCCCAAGTGCCTGTGCTATAGATCGGATAGTGAAAATGCATATTTCTTTAAATATCTTCTTCTCTGCCTCTGAATATTTAGCAGACACACTAATTATATGGTTAATATGAGCAAGGATGCCTCTTCCAAAAGTATGAAATTCAAATTCCTGCATGGGTCAGGGGTTTTGGTGTTAGGGTGGTTCTGTGTTGCATATATATTAAAAATGCATTGTTCCCTTGAAAATCTTCTTCTCTACCCCTGGGTAATAAACAAACATACTAAGCACTTGGTTATTATGAACAAGGGTGTTTTTTTTTTCCGAAATTGTGAATTTTATGGCCCTGAGTCAGGGGTTCTGGTGTTAGGAAGGGGCTCTTTTGATTATAGAGTGAAAATTGCATTATTTCTTCGAAAATCTTCTCTGCTCCTGCATGGGTATTTAGCAGATAATCTAAGTACATTGTTATGATGAACAAGTGTGTCTTATCCAAATTTTTAATTCCATGGCCTCTGGGTCGGGGGTTCTGGTGTTAGACCAGGGGCTGACAAATCCATTGCCCGACGCCCGGGGCTAGTGAATTTTAGGAGAGGGCAAGTGAAATTTTATCAACCACTTGCCCGTGGGCAAGTGACTTTAAAAAAAAATAAAATAAGATAAATATTTAAGTCGTGGATTTAATCTTGGGCACAAGGGATTGCATGTTCTACTCAGTATTTTTCTTCCTATTTTTTTTAAATATAAAATTATATAAATACAGTATTAGTTTCTGGTTGGGCAAGCAAAAATTCAGGTACGGCAAGTGAATTTTCACCATACACTTGCCCTTGGACAAGTGCCTAAAAAATCTATTTGTCAGCCCCTGTTAGGGTGAGGCTGGTTGAATCTATGCATTTTTTCTCGAAAATCTTCTTCTCTGCTCCTAAGCATCTCTGCTCCTAAGCATCTAGGAGGCAAACAGAGTACAAATTTGAAATAAGCAAAGGTATTTTTACCAATTTTTTGAAATTCTGAACAACTTGGTGAAATGTTCTAGTGCTGGGAAGGGCTCAATTAATTTGTATTCTACTTAGAGAAGTTATTTCCCTTTGCTATTCACCTTTGATAATTAATCAATGAATAACGTAATTGAAAGGACAATTGACTGAGAGAGGTATACAAGAATTTTTTATAATTTATAATATACAAAAAGTACTTTCATAGTTTTAAAGGTCAGGTAGACTTGTAGAAAAAAGATAAATTATAATGTGACAAAACACCTTATCATTTTACATTGAATGTTCTTCCAAGACCATGAGAGGCCAATGTGAGAGGGAGTGAGTGATGTTTACTAATAGTGCTCAAGTACTATTGTTTTGTTTAGTTAACATGGTGAGCGTAACAAATGGGGGCAATTAGATAGAGCTACTTTAAGATTTGTTAATAAGTACTAGACAAATTAATTTGTTGATCCCTGATCATCCTATTTCTCTTGCATTTGGGCAACATAGCTTCATCTTTCAGTATTTCGTTTTATTTCATACTTCTGTGGATCCTTTACAGTATTGTATGATACTCAGTTGACCTCTTGCTTTGTTCATACGACTTATTATCTTGTTTGTACGACTTATCTCGTATTTACAACTCAACATCTCGTTATTACGACTTATTATGTCGTACTTTCGACTTAGTATATGTCGATTGTACGACTAATTATCTCGTAATTACGGCTTCACATCTCGTTATTACGATACTTTGTCGTTTGTACAACTAATTATCTCATAATTACGACTTATCATCTTGTACGTACGACTTAGCATCTCGTTTGTACGACTTAGAATTTCGTTTGTATGACTTACTATCTCGTACACGTGTACGACATACAATATATATATATATATATATATATATATATATATATATATATATATATATATATATATATATATATATATATATATATATATTCTTATATAGCAAAGTAATGTCTGTGGATATGAAACATGTCAGTCAAAATAAAATTCAATGATTGATACTTACAATAAAGAGTTGTTATTAAAGAACTGTTTACTCGTGGGGTTTGTTAAGATCCACTTCATGTTACAGTCGCATCTCCACGGATTGCCTGCCATAAAGACCCTCTTTAATCCATTAGGAAACGTATTATGTGTTAAATATTTCAGTTTGTTGTGGTCTATAAAAAGATTTTCAAGTTTGTTTAAATGAGAAATTGTGTTCCCTTCTAGAGTCTCCAACTTGTTATAATTCAAATAAAGTGTGTGTAGCTGCGGAAAAAATCCCAAAACTCCAAGCGTTTTAATTTTATTGTGTTCAAGGTGGAGTTCCTCTAGTTCGCCCAGAGTTCTCAGAGAATCTTCAGTAAAAACTGTCAAATAGTTGTACTGTAGATACAGTCTTTTTAACCTCACTAAATTTGTGAGGGCCATCGCCTCCACTGTGGTGATACTGCAATATGATAAGTCAAGCTCCTCTAGAAAAAGATATCCATGTGAAGTAAAAGTCATTCTTGATACAAGGCCAAGTGGGTTTCCTCGAAAACTCAAAAATTTTAAAGAATGGAATTCGCTTAATTCGAACCGGTATCTCTGAATGAGAAGGTCGGATCCTTTCAAAAGATTAAAGGACAAGTCTAAGTGAACAAGGTTGGTCAACTCTGTAAAAGCATTATGCTTTATTTTCTGTATAAGATTGTTGGAGAGGTTCAAATGAGTAAGAGGGGTTGTGTTAAGTATCTCAATATTCGTTAATTCATTATGCGATAGATCGAGGATCTTGACTTCGGATGGGACGTCATTAGGATATATTGTCAAGTTACTAAACGAACAGTTAAGGACTTCTGGTAATGAAAGCGATGGTCGGCATCCATGAAATGTCAAAACCATGTCACAAAATATTACAAACACTGAAAGGATCTGGACGGAGTATACAACGGATGATGGCATGATCCAACTGAAAAAAAAGATGAATTAATCCCTTAGCATTTTTTTTATAAAAAGGTCTATTTACACCCTCCCAGTAATTCAAAATTTTACAATGGCAATCACTTGAAAGATTGTATTTGTGTCAGAGTTAATATCGTTGAAATGAAACAATGGTCACTAAATATGGAAGGTAACATAAATTTACCTGGATTTGGAGTTCAGTAAATGTACCAGTAGTCAAAATACAATGAAACTTCAGTAGTACCTTGGTAAAGTCGCGGCTTCATGCGTTTCTTACTCATCCTGGGCAGCGGAGTTTGTACTCTGATAAACTATACACGCTGGTGATATTTTGCTATCGTAAGCCGAGATTATCACTTTGTTGACTTATGATAGGTGATTGACCATTTAAAATTATAATCATGTATGTGTATTTTTAAAGATAGATAAACTGCATTTTATTCCCACACATTGTCTTGAATGCAGTCTGTCAACAATGAATCCCCAAACCTATCATCCATTAGACCATATTACTCTTTTTCCAACGAATAGTGGATAGAAGGATTAGCCAGACTGTCCTAAAACTAAATCCCATATCAACTATCAAATGCATGGTGAGGAAAATGTAGAAGCTTTGAAGAAAGTCGGTTGAAAGCAAACGGTGGTAACAGGCTTGTAGAACGCCGGGGGGGGGGGGCAGGGGACCCCCCCCCCAACTTTTTCTGAGTATAATATTTTGCTGTAATAAATTTTCCTATAGATGCTGGTGATCCCCACTTTTTGTTGCGGTAAGGTCGAGCACTGGCAAATTCCATGATTAATAATTTTTTTTTCTTTGCTTGTCAGGATAATTTGGTAAGTTGCCCTCCCCCTCCCCCAAGTTTAGGTTTTTGGTCAGTTTATAAAGGCTTTTTTTTTTTTGCTTGTCAGATTTTTGGGACCCCCCCCCCCAATTTCGAAACCGTTGCTACGGGCCTGGGTAATCAACAGTTAAACTATAGAAGGGGGTTGGATAAAGTTTTTAGTGGGATTAGAGCCCACCCAGTGTTTATTTTTATTGTTCATTTAATTAAAATTTATTTCTAGTTATAACGCGGTATTTGATTGGATAAAAAATTTACTTTATATTGTAATAAATTGGGTTGCCTACGTCACCATGACTTGCGTCAAAAACGTATCGATCCGCCTGACGTTACATTTGAATTTTGTACAATTTGATTAAGGGCAATCATCTTTTTTTCTTAAACTAAATGAATGAAAATTAAATTATAAGGAATGAATTTAATAGCTACCAAATTTATACGTTATAAAGTGGGTTGGAACAGTTTATGCTTTTTTAAGCTTCGTGGTTTATAAAGCGTATACTGCCCCAACCCACTTTATACTGTATAAAATGGGTAGCTATTAAATTCATTCCTTAAATAATAATACAAAGAAAAAAAAAAGGTCGTAATTCTCATAACGAGAAAACATTTCAAATTTTCACTTTTATTTTTTTTTTAACCTGAAAAAGGTGTAAAATTAACTTTGCAATAAAGAGAGAGAGAGAGAACAATGTAAATATTATCTTACGAATGGTAGACAAAAGTAACAAAGAATGTTAATATTATTATTCTTACATTTTGAATAGACAAAACAAATAAATAATGTAAATATTATATTTACAGGAGACAAAACAAATAATGTAATACATGTAATGTAAATAATATTTATTACAATAGACAAAACAAAAGAAGAATGTCAATATATTTTTACAATAATAATAAAAAAATCTGAAATAAAGAATGTCAATATTATGTTTACAATATACAAAGAAATAGTAGTAAATTTTTGTACTTTTTACATCCAACCAATGACAAAATGCCTGGAGTTCTCAGAAGTAATTACTCGATTTATTGCCATTGATTATAGCTTGAAGTTACCTGTCCCTATTAAATGGATGAGGTAAATGAATTACGGAAATGTAAAACTAAGGAGTAGTCAGTGTTGGATAATCAGTTTGTTGTTTGAATCGGGTTCGTTATACGGCTGATAAAAATGCAAAAGGTGTAAAACTTTGCAATAAAGAGAGAGAGAGAGAGAGAACAATGTAAATATTATCTTACGAATGGTAGACAAAAGTAACAAAGAATGTTAATATTATTATTCTTACATTTTGAATAGACAAAACAAATAAATAATGTAAATATTATATTTACAGGAGACAAAACAAATAATGTAATACATGTAATGTAAATAATATTTATTACAATAGACAAAACAAAAGAAGAATGTCAATATATTTTTACAATAATAAAAAAAAATCTGAAATAAAGAATGTCAATATTATGTTTACAATATACAAAGAAATAGTAGTAAATTTTTGTACTTTTTACATCCAACCAATGACAAAATGCCTGGAGTTCTCAGAAGTAATTACTCGATTTATTGCCATTGATTATAGCTTGAAGTTACCTGTCCCTATTAAATGGATGAGGTAAATGAATTACGGAAATGTAAAACTAAGGAGTAGTCAGTGTTGGATAATCAGTTTGTTGTTTGAATCGGGTTCGTTATACGGCTGAAAAAAAAATGCATTGTGGGTAGCATTCCTGAAATGAATCGAAAATCAAATGGAGTCTCCTGATAGCGAAGACGAAAGAAATGTAAGCTTATAAAAATGTATTGTAGTCAGTAGCTTTTCAAATATATTTTTTTTATAAATGAATATTGAAGCTTTTTAAAATTTTCTCTTATGAAGCGGCGTTGATTTTTTTTTAATTTGTCTTAATGAAATCTGGTATCCAATGTCAACAATATCATAAATAATGTCAGAAAGTTCAATCGTTAGAGAAAGTAGAGCCATCTGATCACGAGCTTATTGTCATTTTATTGTTTGTTAGCATAAGATGCAAAAGATCGGTAAGAAAAGTGCCGCAAGAACACATGCCTCATTGAATTTTGATTGAAAAACAACCTGTTTTAACATAGCGTTTGTGATCTCAAAAAAGTGTTATGCACAATTTGTGTTCTTGAATATTGGTCATATTGTATGAAACATGCACCAGCGTGTTTTACAACTGAAAAGTGAAAAAGACTATTTGTAATCACACTGGAAGAACTCATACAGATATGGTTGAACTCTATTACCTCATACTCTGAAGTTTTTATCTTGGTCCCATTGAGTTGATGCCCCCTCCCCCAGTAATAAGTAATTATACCCCCACTTTGAAGGAGAGGGCATATATTGTTTTACCCTTGTATGTCTCTCTGTCTGTCCGTAACAAATTTTCGTCACAGTTTTCTCAGCAATCCAATCCATTGTCAACTTCCTGTTTATTCCTGTCTCTGCCTGTACCAAATTTCCATCACAGCTTTCTCAGCAACAATTTTAAGGCCATTTCACAATTGGTACAAGAGCAGAAGCGACAAAATATTCGTGTGACCGAAAAATTTTGACTTGGATCGTGAGCTGTTGCCAAAATAATCGAATTTGAAAAAGTATTCGTACAAAATTCCCACAATCTAAAGCAACTGTTGTGCAATGCAAACTTATTAAATCTTGCAATATATCTTGTGACTATATGTGATGGTTGTGATCAGACGACTAGACATGTGGCGCTCATGCGATCATACATTCCATGGTACAAAATCTCATGTGAGTCAGAGGGGGTATATATACCGCCTGTTTCCGACGCTATTCAGTTGACATAGTTGAATGCGAGAGAAGATGCAGCAGCATGCATGGTCAATTGTGGTCTGAAACAGAGATGCTTATACAGGGTATATATACTAGTGGCAAAGTTTAGAAAATTGAAGCTGATAAATCGTGCAATGATAGTGAAAACGTTGCAAGATTACATGAGACACATTGACTCTCGTTGAGTCACAAAACAGGCACATAGACAGCTACAATTCATCTTTCAACTTTTAAAAATCACTCTTGTGAGTACACAAAACGTTGTAAGCATTCGTACTAATGTTTATGCCTTGCATTGCGATAATTTGAATCACATCCGAGCTCGTCTGAATAGTGTGCATGTCTACTATTTTGAGGAGACTTGATGTGACCAATAAAATGCATGCAACGAATGCGAGACATCGTGCAACGTATGCGAGATCTTGTGTGAATCTAAAACATTCTGATCGCAAAGTGTTGTTAAGTACTCATGCGCCAATTGTGAAAGGGCCTTAAGGCAGGTGCTTGAAATTTTAGTACACTCTTTGTTTAGGCATGCCATATGGTGGGATTCATTCTTTTACAAATCTATTCTCAACTTCCTGATTATCCTTGCGTCTGTCTGTACTGAATTTCCGCGGTTTTCTCAGCAACTACTCATCGCAAATGCTTGAAATTTTAGCACATTCTTTGTTTCATCGTCACAAACCAGGGCCAAAATGTACGATCCTCTCCCATTCTGGCCGTGGTTGAATGAGAAGAGAATATTTCACAGCTCATTAAAATATTGACCAATGTGAGTAAAGCATAGTGGGATGATGAACTTTGATGCGACCTTTCAATACCCAATTGCAGTATATGAAACATTTCTTGTAAACTGTTGATGTCAGTTGTTTTGATGGCAACAAATATTGTCATTGGCTGAATATGACTTCACAACATAGAGGCGTAAATATTCAAGATTACAACACTTTTTTGTGATCAAGCAGCCACAGGTAGGAGAGTGCTATAGATATGCGAACTCTGGACTGTGGCTTGAGACGATGTCTTTGTTTAGGCATGTCATATGGTGGGATTCATTTTTTGTATGAATCCGATGTCAACTTTCTGTTTATTGATCCCTGTCTCTGTCCGTACCAAATTTCCATCTCGGTTTTCTTAGCAACTACTTAGGCAGATGCTTGAAATTTCAGCACACTCTTTGTTTTGGCATGCTTGAAATTTCAGCACACTCTTTGTTTTGGCATGCCATATGGTGGGATTCATTTTTGTAGGAATCCATGTCATCTTCCTGTTTATTTCTGCATCTGTCCTTACC